AATCATAAATTGCATCATTTCTTCATTTATTGCTTAAAAATTACAAGCACTTTTATTTTGGAGATGCAATATCGAGAGACCTATATTTTGCACCACTGTTGCACTTATTACCATCGATGGACTGAAACATGTTTCCCACCATTGAATAGGTGCGTCGTGTGCAGACCTTAGTGGATAAATTAGATTCTCTAAAGGCAAGAAATTCCAATCCTTTTATCAACAGTAGCAACGCTGTCAAGGTAACAACCCAATGGGAAACCTTTGACTCTGGAATGGAAAGCTCGGGTACCCGATCAGATAACTCACCTTCAACAAAAATATCTCAAGATTGGGAGCGATTTGAGTAGGCTCAGAAATTGTTTTGGAACATTGAAGTTATAACTCTTGTATAACCTGCCCACCGTTGTTCCAGATTCATTTTTTATGTTTGCTTGAACTCTTGGCGCAACGGCAAGATCGTTGCTTTCTGATATGGTACGCAGAAGTTTTAATAGCCGAAATATTCTCCCAAAGCTAAAGTGGCATGTGTTAAGTCTATCTCTTGCACTTGATTTTAGGCGAAACATGTATATGAAACTGTATTTATACTTGAATATTATTGCATCCTTAGATACGTTTTTTGTCTTCTGTTTATTAAGTTGTTAATAGTTTATGCTGTTAATGGTGACAACAAACCTAAGATTAAATACAATATGTCGAACTCATTAAGTCATGAAATTTTTTTTGATATGTTACAAAATTATTTATATAATTTCTCTCACACACTTCATTAATGAAAGAAGATAAATATGATCCGAAATTTAAATTTAATTTACTTATAAATTCATCAAATTAAAAGATAATATTTCATTTTACAATATAACCACTTATAACAACTTATAACATAAAGTTAATATCATGGAATACTTTACTTCAACAATAATATTGATAATAATATCTAAACAAATTATTAAAAAAATTAAACAAATTAAAAAGGAAATCAAAATAAAAAATGCAAAAAAATATTTAAGGACCGATCAAAATAGTTACTGCATTTCAAAATTCGATAAGTATCTTAATTGGATTTTAAAATATGTTGACTTTCCGAATTTGATTGGTTTCGAAATTTGATAAATTTATTAATTGAATTTTGAAGTTATGTGATTTCCTAAATTGAATTTCATATTTGAAAATCCGGTTTGCTTCCTAAATGATTCGAAATATGGTGCAGGCAAAAATAATTATATCAAAATGAAACAAACAAAAAATTTCAAACAAAAACGATTATACCTAAATTAGAAGATGAAGGTGAACACGGAACAAGGCTCATGCTAAAAAGCAATGCAAACTCACCACCACAACAATGAAAAGCACGATCACGAGAGCGAGAGAAGAAGAAGAATGATGAAACACAAATGATAGCCAAAGAAGAAGAATGGTGAACTTGAAATTCAAGGCAGTACAGTAAAATAATATAAAATAATTACAGGTGGAAGTAAAGGTGATTAGGTAAGACATATTGTTTACCTAATTATTTATTTTAACATTTTTATCAAATGACATAATGATCTACTTGAAGATGCAAAAAGGAAACTTGGAGGTACTAAAAAAATGCTCAAATAAATTTCAGAAACTGATCCATGTATAAAACTACAAAAAGAAAATTTTTTAAAATACAGGTTACTCCGTTAGTCCGCCTAGTGACGGGACGGATTGTCATATTCAGTCCACTTTTGTTTTTGGCGAACAAAAACGGATTGGACTAAAAGGACATGTTTTGCGGTCCTATAATTATGGGGAGATTACTCCATCCACCATCATATTTATTTTTTATTTTTATTTATTTTGTCTAAAATCCTAATTTGCGGTCCTATAATTATGGTCATGGCCGGTAAGTATTTTGATAGTGTTACTCTCCACACCATCTCACGTTTTTTTCTTGTGCCCCTACATTTTTTAAAAGTTCAAAATTGTCCTTGTATTTCAAAGAAACCCTATATCTTTCTTTTTTTTAATGGATTTCGAAATTAGTTGAAGAAAAATTCCTTCAACGAATTTTAAAATCCATTTAAAGATTTCCAAGCCTTCAACGAATTTCGAAATTTGTTGAAGTTTTTAAAAAATTCTTCAACGAATTTCGAAATTTATTAAAGAAATTTTTCTTCAACGAATTTCAACATTCATTAAAGAATTTTTTTTTCTTAAACGAATGTTAAAATTTGTTGAAGAAAAATATTTTTAGAATATAGGAGTGTAGGAAGAAAAATAGAGAAGTACAAGGAGTAACACTCGTATTTGGAAAGAAATGCATAGTTTTCTTTTTTGTTTCTCTACAATCGAGGTCTGTTCAAGGGATGGGTAGTAGGATGTTTTCTACTCCTTTCAACTCTCAATTTTTAAAATCTCAAACAATAAAATAAGTAAATTAACATGTTGCCCTAGAGTACCTTTCTCTCTAATGCTTTGTTCACATGTGAGGATTTGGGAGAGATGATTTGGGGGAGAGTGATTGAATGAATTTGAGGGTAAATTTTTTGTTGTTTGTTTGAGTAGATTTGGAAGTAAAGTTTGTGAGAATTAGTGTAGGATTTGATTGATGTGATAAATTTAAAAAATTTGTTTAATTGGTAAAAATTAAAGATTACCAAAATGCCCCTAGTTACTAAAGTAATATAAAATGTTATTTGTTAATGTTATATTTAATTGTAGAAATGTTTATAAAGAGTAAAAAATTAAAAATATTAATTAAAATTAATTTTTAAAAAGTAACAATTAAAATTTAGTAAGATGAATTTATTTTTAAATGTAGTATTTGTTTGTAATATAATTTTCTACCGAGTAGTATGAATTAATTTGTTATGGAAGGGAGATTGATTAATTTTTAAAGAAACAAATAATGAAACAAAGTTATAATATTACATGACATAAAATAAAAATGCGAACTTAATTTTTCGTTCAATAATTGCACATAGTCTTATTCTTTGATTTCTTCCTTTTTCCAATTCATCCATGATTCGAGAATCCACTTGCAGTTCATTAAGTTCACAATAAATACAAGTATGAAAACTAATGTCAAACATAATGACATTCAAAAACAGGTAATGAACAAATCAAACACATAAGTCAATTTAAGCAAAAAATTCGTGTAATACATTCATGGAATAGTAAGCAACTTAATCATCTAAATGATGAAGAATTAAGTTAACATTTTGATTCAGGTGAGCAAATTGTCGGTTCGTGTTGAGGGATAGGTTTGTCAAGTTATCTTCAATACGTTGAACGCGCACCTACATTTGTTCCATACCATGCATTCTTTGTTGCAAGTCTTGTACCCCCTCCCACATTTGAGTAATCATATTAGGATTTGAAAGATGTGGAGGAGGTTGCACAGGGTTGTCATGATGGTGTGGTTGCTCTTCGTCGTCGTCATCACCGACGTCGTGTTGCCAAACACAGTTGACATTAACAATATTCAACATCTTCAAAGAATTAATTGAAAAATGATGTGTGGTCCTAATATGAGTGCTGACATCGACATCAACATGTACTCCACAATATTGCATGATTCAATTGATAACTATATTATTTGTAAGCACCCATAACATAAAGATATCATCCTGTAATAACTTTGCAAAATTTCTAGGTCGTGGAGTCAACATGTGCACAATAACATAATGCAAAAGTTTATCATTAATATTCAAACAATCAACCGTTTTAACATGATGACCCTACATTTATGGTCTAACCATAATAGCTAATGTCATCTCCTGGTCATAGGAGAAGTCATTTGGGATATTTGAATAACACAATTTTTGACTATCATACTTCATATTAGCAGCATTCAACCAATTAGCAAGTTTCAATCTAATTCTTCTCTTGTTGACCTCATTGAGCAAATATCCATTTCTAGAAGTCTTCAGAATTGAATAAAATACTTTAATCAAATCTGGATAGAAGGGTCCCTACAATGTCAGAAATTGAACCACCCCTTGAAGTAAAAGATGATGTTGAAAATATAAGCTTGAACCGATAAATGATTCAAAATTCATAATTTTTGGAACAACAATATTCCTTGTGTAGAAATCAGCTACATAGTTTTCCGTTTGATGATTGTGATTGAAGAATCGACGTTGATCTAATTTTTCTACAATAGATGGTCTGAAGTAGGTAGCAACTTCTGACTCAGGTATAGTTTCTTTTCCCTTACGACTTTTCCTAGGCCATTTGGTTGATGATGAGACCATTTCACAATTACTTCAACAAAACCATAAATAATATCAATAATAAGTTAAGTCATAACAAATAATTCAATATTAATAATAACAACAACCTGAAACAATTAAGTCATAATTACAAAACAGGGACATCTTAAAGTCATAATAGTAATACAACTAATCAATTAAGTCATAATAGTAATACAACTAATCAATTAAGGCATTTTAACAGTCACCACCCGAGATCATTTTACATAGCTTATTCCACCTCTTGTGTGGTGGAAGTCTCATCAACCTCTTTGTACATGTGGGGTTTCCACATAAGAAATCATAACATTGCTTGAGCAAGTTTTCATCAACAATATTCATACCACTCAACATTTCATATATGTCTCCCTCTATGTATGTGAATGTTGGGGTACGACGTAGGATCTCGGTTTGAGAACGTAGTATTTCATTTCTATTTTCCATTGCATCGACATGACGCATGGCTGCATTTAAAATCGTAGCAAAATGAACATTTGTAGATCTAGTGACATTTGTGAAACCATCCAGGCTGGTCGTCAATTTATCAAATTGAGCATCAATTACGTCGACCATAGGTGCCTTCCTTTTAGAACTGTGTGATGACGAAGTTCCTCCGGATGGGACAAAAGGCACATATTGAGTCTGCCCTAGACTATACTCATCCACAGATGAAGGAGGTGATGGTGGAATTTGGTCAGTAAACACAAGATAGATGGGCTCCTCTGGAATGTACTCCATATTCTGATTCAGATCAACCTGTACACGAGGCCCAACCCACCGTCAACGTGCTTGACGAGCGGTCCGAACACCACTCCCAATAGCTCGATCCGCGGCCCATAACTCCACCATTAAATCGTAGTGTTTGATACTGTTAACTCTCCACTTTGCCGCACTTGGCCTCGACTGAAACAACATACATTACACATCCTATGGTTCATATTATGTATTTTAACAATCCACCAAATCTTAGTATTTAACAAATACCTGAATGAGGTTGTCCCACACTTCATCCTCAACTTCAAATCTCATAGTTACGACATTCCAACCAAATCCACTCAAGCCAGCAAAGAGGTCATGTACCTCACGCCATTTGTCTTTCAACATTTTCTGTCGATTTTTGACATTATTTTTTGTAATTGCTACATACCCAAAGCTATGAAGATTATCAACAATGTTACTATAAGCTTGGGATGTCCAACTTCCGTCAACCCTATTACCGAGCCATGATTCCTCAATCATGGTGTGTAGAAGACGTGCGTCCATGTCCTCTGTCCACTTTATGAACTCTCTAGTAGGACTAGAGGACTCAATGTCCACTCCCTTACCTCTGTTCATTTTAAACCTAATTGATAAATAAAATGGTCAAAAGTTAAGATTAAACAACCATAAAAGCAAGTTCTTGTCATTTTCAAATAAAATTGTCATACAACTAAATAAAATACAATAACTAGGAGTTTTGATTATCTCGCCACATTTGATCTGCTATTCAATCTCTTATACTACTACCAATCCTATGATCATCTTCTCTAACTTAAGATGATGAAACATTATGGTCTTCTCTTTCATTCAACTCATTATCAACTTCATCAAGCAATGAGTCATCATTATCCACGCCACGAAGGAAGTTGTGTAAGATACAACAAGCTAATATAATGTTTGTCATTGTCTCCAATCCATAGTGTGGTTCAGTGCCACTTGCAATGATAGGGAATCGTTTTTTCAACACACCAAAAGTTCTTTCAATAACATTTCTCAACGATGAATGTCGATGATTAAACAACTCGCATGCATTATGTGGTCCTCTACGTGTATATTCTTTAAGGTGATATCTAACGCCTCTATATGGAGTCAAAACTGTGTTTTTCAACATAAATCCAGCGTCACTGAGGTAGTATTTTCCTACAATGTTGTACACATAAAGGTATTTAGTGAGTATTAAATAAAATCTTCAAGATCGCAATATATACACTAACCTTGGGAGATAACCAACGGATCATCTCGATCAAAAGCATTTTTTAAAATTCTTGAATCATATACAAGGCCTTCCCACCCATCTAAAATGTTGATAACAGTTGATTTCACCGTTATTTGAGAGTAAATTTTGATATCANGTGTGGTTCAGTGCCACTTGCAATGATAGGGAATCGTTTTTTCAACACACCAAAAGTTCTTTCAATAACATTTCTCAACGATGAATGTCGATGATTAAACAACTCGCATGCATTATGTGGTCCTCTACGTGTATATTCTTTAAGGTGATATCTAACGCCTCTATATGGAGTCAAAACTGTGTTTTTCAACATAAATCCAGCGTCACTGAGGTAGTATTTTCCTACAATGTTGTACACATAAAGGTATTTAGTGAGTATTAAATAAAATCTTCAAGATCGCAATATATACACTAACCTTGGGAGATAACCAACGGATCATCTCGATCAAAAGCATTTTTTAAAATTCTTGAATCATATACAAGGCCTTCCCACCCATCTAAAATGTTGATAACAGTTGATTTCACCGTTATTTGAGAGTAAATTTTGATATCAAATGAACCCTTTTTGACTTAGAAACTTGTTTGTTCTCTTGATTTTGGTTTATTTTGGGAAATAATAGAGTTGAGGTTACACTTGAAGATTTTATCACAAAATCCCCTTGGTTTTGTAGGAAATTGGGATGAATTGGAAGAGGACTTAAGTTGTCAAGAAGTTGGAACTCATAAAGGACAGAAAGAGCACCAATGGAAAAGCTTGCAAAAGGCACACTCATGCTTGGGCGCCCTTTTCATGACCCTCAACGCTAGAGCCTCGTCGTCACGCCTGGGCGCCCTTTTTGGGGCGTTGAGCGCCATCTTTCCTGCAACGTTTCACGCCTGAGCGCCCTTCATTGGACGCTGAGCGTCATTCTTCTCGCAAGCACACCTGAGTGCCCTAAGTAGGGGCGTTAAGCGGTGAAAATGTTGGCCCATGGCCCAATTCAGCCCTATTTAAGGATTAGCTCGACCTAGAGAGGATATCTCTTGATAGAATTGACACAAATTCAGAATTGCTCCAACTCTCTGAAGGTAGAAGTGGATGTGGAAGTTCTCCTCTTCAGTTTTTAGGATTTTTCTATCTTTTTCATTCCATTGTTCATCTAGTGTCTCCATGACGATGGGAAACTAAACATTCTTTGTTGTTGGGGGATGATGTAACCTTGTGAACTCTCATGTATTTGAATTGATTCTTATTTATGTATGCTTCTTTCATTAATTATTAGAGTTATTCTTCTTTGCTTAATGTTTGTTATGTTTAACTCATTCATGGCATGATTATTGGTTTTTGTGATATGGACACATACGGGGAAGCCTAGATCTGGAGAATTGCTCCCAAAAGTAGTATTGCCTAGACATAGGGATATGAGTTTTGGTTATCTTAAGCTTATATGAATATGTAATGAAAAATTAATTGCTAGGGAGACAAGACATTGTAAACTAGTAATTAAGGATAAGATTTCTTCGTCGAGACATCGAGTTTTAAGTAATTTAGAAAGTGATATTAACATTAATGACAACCTGGTCCTCCAGTCAACCATATCACAACAGGATCATTCTTGTTCTTTCGTGATTCAAAGAAAAAGTAGAACATCCTGTGCCACTCAAAAAGGAAGATTTGTTATCATGATATTATTATCAGAAGGTTGCATGGAGATAGATTTATATATATTAATTACCTTGCAGCTTTGGAATGAGGAAGTGAATAGTAACCTACATAGTGAAGAAGGTCTTCAATAGAAGGGCCAGAATGACCAAGGAAGGAGAAGTTCTTCTCAACGATCTGACCAGGGACAAAACTATGAAGGTGGTCAGCTTCAATACTGTTGAAGGGTTCGTAAGGGAATAGGTTAAGGCTTCTTATGAGTCTTTCTGCTTTGGATGATGGTGGTGGGAATGCAGGGTGACGAGTGAAGTGAGAGGTTGCATAGCAAAATGAAACTGATGCAAAGAAAAGCAACAGAGAGAGTTTGGAGAAGGATTTTGAAGATGCCAGCTTGCTTCATTGTGTTGTAGTCTGTTCATGTGATATTTTGTACATATATGTTTCTAATGCATTCTTAAAAATGCAGAGAAAAGAAAAAGTGAGGAAGAAGAATAGAAAAAGCTGGAACAACATGAAATGTAGATGAGAGAGAAGAAAAAGTGTAGATTGTAAGTTGAAGTTAACTCAGTTTACGTGAATTTAATAGAAGGGATCTAATTGATACAATTTATACTACTTTGAGATAAAATGGAAGCATTTTTAAAATCGGATACTAAACAGAAATTCACCTCTTAACATGGAGACGAAATAAGCATTTAAACCTTCTATTTATTTTAAGTAAATAAATGAAAATCGCAAAAAACGTTATTTGAAGTTTCTGTTATAAAGTGTGACCAGTACAAGTTTAACATTCTAACTATACCTCTAGCTTCAGCATCTAGATCACTTGATAAATGTCAATTTAAAAGTTAACATAAAAATGTATGTATAGAGAATAATTAACTTTATTTATTATTTTTAATCACATTATAACTATTTCACATTTTACTTCAAATGTACGTGATAGTTGTAACTATTTCACATAACGTCTCTTCTTCCTGATTTCAAACAATTAGAAGATAAATGAAAATTTTCTAATTTTCATATGTCAATTTCACGTACATATAAATGTTATAACTACTTCATACGTTTATGTAACCACTTTTATCTGTTTATCTTTAAATAAAAGAATTACCATGTATCTCTCTTAAAATCAAGAAACGTTTATGTGCTAAAAAAATTAGAAATTAATTAAATGTTAAACCCAAGATTAATAAAATATAAAGGTAATCATTAACTTAAATAGGTTTGTGATCACATTAGCTAGGTGTCATCATTAATTTCTTCCCGTGTGTTTACATGGTTTGTAACCAACTTATAATCATTTTCTTGTTAAAGTGACATTGTTAGCTATAAATAAAGTTAAAATCTCTTGTAGAAATATTTTTAAAAATTGAATAAAATTCTTTTTTTCAGACACATTTTTTAGAGTTTTCTTTTCTTGCTTTTATTCTTATCTTAAAAGACTTTTTAAAGTGACGAATCCTTCTTGAACTTATCCTTTGATAGTAGTGACATGTTTTAATTTCATTCCTTTCCTTAATCCATTTTCCATTTCCTTTTGTCACTTGTTCTTATTCTAAGTTGTATTCTGAAATTGTTCAAAATGTGAGGAAATTGTAGTACTCAACAAAGAAATTAGTTATGAGACTTGAGAATTATTGTGGTAATTGGTTTTTATGATTTTAATTGCTATGTTTATTACTTAATGATTATTGATTAAGTGAAACACACGATTGGTATGTGGTTATTTCAATGTGTGTGTGGGTGTTACTATCAATGTGATGTGTTGGTTGGTTGATGGAAGGATGATTTAGGATTGAAGGTGTGAGTTAAATTCTAGAAGAAGAAAAGGAGTCAAGGAAAAATTTTGTTTTAATTGAATTTTAGGCCCTAGGGTAAGGGTCTTTTTGTCTTTATTAATTGATGTAGAAATTAATATAAGGAGGTGTAGAAGTAAAAGAATAAAAAAAATCTGAATAATAAGAGAGAGATTTTGTGGATTTAAAAAGATTTGTTGGTTGTTGATATTTTAAAAGTAGTTAAGAGAGGAAATCTTAGTGGTTTTTTAGATTAAGTGAGAGATATTATTTTAACTAAAAAGATAAAAACGAAATAGAAGAAGATAAAAAAGATAAGAGTGGAAGGGGTTTGCATATTGCTGCGCTAATTATAAAAAACGAAATTGAGAGAGATAAGGGAGAGGAAAGACATTTTCTAAGAGAAAAGAGGAAGAGTTGCATAAAACCTTAGTACAAGGAAGGATTTGTGGTGTTTTTGGAGTATAGATAAAGCCCTAGTATTGACCAAGGTATGAGGAAGCTTACTTTTGTTTGCTTGTTGTTGTATGTCATATGATCTTAATAATCTTGATTGATAATCTTTTTTTGATACATGATTATATGATTATGATTATGATTACACTAGTGCAGTAAGGGGAAATAATATCGGTTAATTTTGCTTATAGCCACCGGTTCTGCAACCGAGACATATACAGACGAGGTAAAAAGGGGGTGGCTTTATGCCTCGGTTCTGAACCGGGTTAAAACGAGATCGGATTATGCCTCGGTTCTTAGATAACCGAGCCAATAGCGTGTTTTTTTTCGGTATGCACAATCCACTTCTCCCTCTTCCTTGCACAATCCACTTCTCCCTCTTCGTTGCACAGTCCACAGTCCACAGTTCAAGCAAAACAGTCCACAGTTCAAGCAAAACAGTCCACAG